CTTGTCAGTTTCTACGGAAAGTTTCCTTGTACCCTCCTGGGGGCAGACCAGGATCAAGGATCCGTGGACTCCCAGGAGGAAGTAACAGCAGTCTTCAAGTCTCCATCATTTGGGGGGATGAAAGGCTTTGGAGAAAATATTTCTGGACACCTGAGGCTTAGACAGGAAGTCCTGCATGCTTTTTAGTCTTACTTAAAATCTTTGAAACACATGTTGCCTCATTTTTGCTAAGTTGCTAAACCTGATGGGATCTGTCTTTTCTAACTAAGGATATACTGTGAGTTTATTTTTCAAAAGTGCCGGTTGGAAGAATGGTTTCCATTGCATGAGCTATGAAAACAGCAAGTGAAGGATATGGGGCTGAATTTATGTCCACGCTCAGCACGACCCTTGAAAACTAATTTCAAAAATAAATCGAGGTGTTTTCTTGTGGTTTGCTTCTTAAAATAGTTGAGCGTTGGAGTGGAGTGGGGAGGGGAAACTCCAGATAATTAATGATCCTGGTTAGATGGGTCCTGATTAATGAGTTTGAGCTAAGCAAGTGATTTATTTTTCCTTCCGCCTCCTCTTTTCAATCAATAAGGAGATTCTGGTTGGAGGATTTGCTGAGAGCCCACATTACTTAAGTCTCAAGTGTAATCAGTTTCCCTTAACTCAGGAAGCACTCACTGATCTCCTCTGGTGTTTCAGCTTCCCTGCAAGGCATACTAACAGATGAGCAAAGATGGGTCAGATAGTGGCTGGCCAAAATCTGGCAGTGGGTGTGAGAAGGTGGTGCCAGCATGCAAGTTCTGGATGTTTGCATCATCATATGCAGGAGAGATTTGGATCAGGAAGTGAAGAGTGACTTCATGGAGGACAGGCATTCCGATTGAGTTTGGCAGGGTGGCCTTAAGTGGAGGCACTCAGGTGGTATTGTGAGTTCAGAGTTAGAGAAGTGTGAGGTACATCCCTTTTTCCTTAAGGTAATCGTAATTATTACTGCAAGCACTTTTTATGTTTAGGTGTGCTATCTTAATTCTTTTTTTTTTGCAGCTTTTGGCCAGGGGGAGGGTTTGAATCCGCCACCTACAGCATATGGGGCCAGTGCCCTACTCCTTTGAGCCATAGGCACCGCCCTATCTTAATTCTTATAACATGGACTGGCAAACTTCTTCACAAATGGATATGGCTGTGTCCCAGTAGAATATTTGGGTGGGAGGTGGGGAGGAGGAACAGAGTCTCACTCTGCCCCAGGCTAGAATGCTGTGACATCAGCCTAGCTCACAGCAACCTCAAACTCCAGGGAGTAGCTGGGACTATAGGCACCCACACCAATGCCTGGCTAATTTTTTTTTCTACTTTTAGTACCGAAAGGGTCTTGCTATTACTCGAACTCCTGAGCTCAATTGATCCTGCCACCTCGGCCTCCCAGAATGCCAGGATTACAGACATGAGCCACCACACCCAGTCTTGTCCTAGTAGAACTTTGGTCAGCTGGAATTGTCCCGATTACAAGTTTGCCAGTCCCTGCCTTATGATATATTGATATAATTCCCATGTCACGGAGGATAAAACTGAGGACAGAAAGCATAATAGAGATTAACTTGCCTGGGACCAAGGGCCAACTTGACTTGCTCGGATTCCAAGGACTTTGTTCTTTTACGTACACTGCCTTGTCTTGAGGGTCAGGATACATTCTGGGGAAGAGCAGATGGATGATAGGTCTGCCTTGACTCACGGTGTGAACAGTCTGCCTTTAATTCAGTGGGAAGTGGGGAACTATTGACAATTTTATCTGGATAGGCCATTGGATGAGAGCTGTGTCCTGGGAAGATGCCTTTGATAATGGGATGGAGGTAGATTAAAGTTGAGAGGAGAAGAGTTCTTCTTTTGGATAGAGGGGTTCATTCTCTGACAGATCCACTTCTGGGCATGATAGCTTTATAAATTCTCCCTGGTGTACCTGACACCTGCCTGGCCCCACTGTGGCTCCACAGTGTGTACACATGTACTCATTGAAAGGAATTTGTTTAACTTTGGTTTCCTGCTGGGTTATGTAGGCACACAAAGAATGCAAGTTTTTTTTTTTTTTTTTTTTTTTTGAGACAGAGCCTCAAGCTGTCCCCCTGGGTAGAGTGCCGTGGCATTACAGCTCACAGCAACCTCCAACTCCTGGGCTCAAGCGAGTCTCCTGCCTCAGCCTCCCAAGTAGCTGGGACCACAGGCGCCCGCCACAACGCCCGGCTATTTTTTGGTTGCAGCCGTCATTGTTGTTTGGCGGGTCCGGGCTGGGGATTCGAACCCGCCACCTTAGGTGTACGTGGCTGGCGCCTTAGCCAGCTGAGCTATAGGCGCCGAGCCAAGAATGCAAGTTTTAAAGACAGTGCATTTATTTGAAAGAACCATTAACACCTGGGAAGAAACTGGGCAGATGCACCAGCATCTCTTTCCCCTCAGTAGTGTCCTCATCAATATCCACTTGTCCTACAGCTGATGTCCTTGGCGCACATGGCTTTACACTTGGGATGTTTCATGGTCCCTCCCACGTGGCTGGGGAGATCCCGCTAGGGTTAGACCAGTGTGGGTGTTCTTCCTGTCTTCCAAGTTAGGGCAGGAAGCCTTGCTCTGTGTACCAGCTTAGACAGTTCCTGACCTACTTACCTTTTATACTCTATCCTACTTTGTGATGCCAGGTGGGCCATATTCCAGACTCTTAAAATTTTGCTACAAGAAGGGGAAGAAGTCCTGAGTCACTTGTGTCCTGGAGGCTCAGGGTAGAGGATGCGGCGTTTGGTGATGCCAATGTTAGAATTTCTAATTACAATAGAACCTTCACACTGACCACCTTCTTCAGTTGACTTAATTTGTGTAGGCTGAACATGTACACATGCATATCAGTACAGTAGGCCTGGTTCCTTATGTTGACCACTTCCTGTATGTTGACCAATTTGTCACATCCCTTGGGCAGTCAGCTTACAGAGGTTCTACTGTATTTGCTTTTATTTGCTGAGCACCCAGCATGTGCCAGGTTTTGTGTCCTTAATATGTTTGAGCTTATTTCATCTTTGCAGTAGCCCAATGATATCTATGTCAGAGAGCACAGAGGTGACTCGCAGCGCAGCAGCTAAGATATAAAGCAAATCTGTCCGCTCCAAAGCCTTCTTCTTTACCAGCCTCCCTACTGGCTTTGCTTCCTGAGCCCTGGCATGGGCAGGGCTGGGGCTTGGTGCCTCTGTGAGTATTGACAACTACCTTCTGAGATGGGCCTTATTGGGCCTATTTTACAGGTGAATAAAGTGGAGCCCAGAAAAGTGAGTGAGTTATCCAAATACATTCAGATAATAAGCTTTAGAACTAGGCTTGGGTTTTTATTTTTATTTTTAATTCCTTTAGAGAATATACTAGAGGAATATGTCTAGAGCCAGTAGGAGGGTGACATGGAGGGGATGACTCAACTAACATTTATGTTTGTATTCAGGAGGCAGCGTTGTAGAGTGTCTAAGCAATTCTGAAATAAGCCTGGGCTCAAATCCTGGCTCTACCATCTCCATGTGACCCTGGACAAATTACTATTTCTCTGTTCTTTAGTTTCCTTTTCTGAAAAACTAGACCCAATAATAGTATCTACCATCTAGAATGAGGATTAAGGGCAGTGCCTGTGGCTCAGTGGGTAGGGTGCTGGCCCCATATACTGAGGGTGGTGGGTTCAAACCTGGTCCCGGCCAAACTGCAACAAAAAAATAGCCGTGTTTTGTGATGGGCACTTGTAGTCCCAGCTACTGAGGGAAGAGAATCGCCTAAGCCCAGGAGTTGGAGGTTGCTATGAGCTGTGTGATGCCACGGCACTCTACCAGGGGCAATAGAGTGAGACTCTGTCTCTACTATATATATATACAGAATGAGGATTGAATGAATTAACACATGTAAAATGTTGATACCAATGGCTGGCATGTAGCAGGACTATATGTTAGTTGAATTTATTGAGTTTCTGTTTGGTAGAAGGCACTTTTATTTTCAAATATGTTGTAGTACTCTGTCCTCATAATAACTGACAAGTAGATAGGATTGATCCCACTTCACAGATGAGAAAACTTAAGACTCAGGGAGGTGAATTGGCTCATGTGAAGTCATTCATCCATTTATCCACAGATACATATTGAGAAATTTTAGCATCCTTCATACTATTTTAGGTACTCGGGATACACATTGAACAAAACAGACCCAAATTCCTACCCTGTGGGGCCTACAGAAGTGGGACTGGAACCCAAGTCTGCCTCTTTTCCTTTTAGTGTTATTTTTTTCCTCTTTCTTCTTTCCCGTTAGTTTCACTCAATGATCTTTTAAATTTCAGGAGTTTCATTATAATTCATTATAATTACAAAGATGGCAGTCTACTTCCTTAGCTTTCTCTAAACTTAAAGAATTGAAAATGATCTTGTTTTATTAGTTTTTTTTATTAAGTCCTATATACATAGATCATGAATACATTTATGCCTTTGTGGGATTCAACGTGTTTTTGACAACTTGGGAGTCATAGGAAAGACTAGTGTGTATTTAAGGATGGGGCTGCAGTATAAAATAGAAACATACTGTGAGCATGCGTCTTCTGCTTTTGGGTCTCTGCAGTGGGAGACAGCTAGGTGGGTGGGCAGGTGTTGTCATTGTCACCTCTTGCTGCACTAGAATGTGTAGCTTTGTCTCGCCCTTTCTTGGAATGAGCACCCTCATGCTCCCATGTTCCCCAAGTGGAGGAGTCAGAGCAGAGATGCTGCCTCCCTGGAGGGACCCTGCTTGTTTGCAGGTACAGCCCTAGCTCCTGTTCCCATTCTTGGAACCTTGAGGGGCCGTGCCCCATTGTGTGAGATTATCCTGGGGGAACTGTTTGGAAATAGGAGGGAGAATGAAAGCCTAGGTGAGGAGGGGAGCTTCTGCTGCTCTGGGAGTCACACAGACAGTCAGAGGTAGAACAGTCACCTTCATCATTTTGGTGGTGGCATCTTGTGGATTAGTATGTGAACATGTTGCAGTATACTAAGGTGGGACACTTCTCTTTTAGGGTAGTCATTTGTTCATTATCACTCTGGGAAAAAAAAGAGATGCTGATATGCAGGGGCCTACATGTCCACATACACACCCCAGTGCAAGCTCATAAATCCGAGCATGGAACTTAGCACTCAGAATCGATGGGGAGGTGTTTTGTTGTTTGTTTTTGGCTCTGACAGTTGGGAAAAAAGTTTTCAGTTGAGAGTTTTCTTGTGCTTATCAGCCTGTTTAGAAGTACCTCTCCCAATATGTACAACTATTATATTCCAATAATTTAATAAATGGAGCAACATGACAACCTAAAAAAGGAAAATATTCTTTTACCCTAAGGAGTCTGTTACCAAGAAGAGTGAGTGGGTTCCCCTGTCCTGATTCCATGGTGACCCAGCCTTCGCCTGCCAGGCTGCTGTGCATGCAGTGTTGTGTTTAAGTATGTTGGAATTTGTTGAGTTTTGTTCACACAATCCCAACAGTGAAAATGATGCCTGGCTTTTCAATTAAACCAATTAAATCGGAGATTATTGTGAGGCCATAAATAACTTCACTCACACACGAGTAATTGAGGTCTTTGTTTTCACACTTGGCTCCTTTCTAAGGGACCCAGGCTCCTGAGAACTCAGCTAACTCAATAGCGCTCCTTACCCTGCCATGGCCCTGTTAGAGATGCCTATTGGGTGGTAACCTCCCCATACGTTGTTTTCTCAATAAAGAAGAAAAGATGGGAAGGGATGGGGGTACATTTCGCCTGCGTCTAGATCTGCAGCCTCTCAAAGCCGTCTGGAGCAGACTGTTTAGTTCCGTGTCCCCTGTCCCATTCAGGCCTCTGTATGTTTTGAAGCTTTCTTTAGCTTTTCCCTGAGCCTTGGTGGCAGATCTCTCAATAGCAAAAGCCCAGCGATAGTTAGCTGAATGCCCGGTGAGCACAATGCCCTGAATTTTAATGGTCTTGGCTGGCCCCCGAAGCTCGGCAGTGGGATGGTGGCTGCTGTGCCGGCCTGAGCAGCTGCCTCTGACTCAGAGTTGGGATCCGACTGGCTTCCTCAAGTTGCCTGTTTACTTTTTTACAGATCTACACAGACTGGGCCAATCATTATCTAGCAAAATCCGGCCACAAGCGTCTCATCAAGGATCTCCAGCAAGATGTGACAGATGGTGTCCTCCTGGCCCAGATCATCCAGGTTGTGGGTAAGAGCAGATTTTACCTTGAAATTTGCCAGCTACCGTGGACCCAGCCCAAAAGCAGTCTAGTGGAGTGGGTGGGAGGGACCACAGAAATCTCTAAGGGGAAAGCAACATTTCTCATGTATTGACAATTTATTTGATTCCATGCTTTGACTCAGGTTGTGAGGATACCTGCTTGCTAGTTTACTTTCCCTAAGATCATACATGCACACACAGCAATCTCATCTTGATCCTCTTAGAGGAAAGACTGGCCAAGGCCAGGAGGAAATGCTGGTGGCTTTGGAGAGGGGTGCTTCTTCCCTTCTTTTTGCCTACTCCTATCTTTCATGCTTTTTCATTTCCCATCTTGGATGGTACTATTTTTGAGGATTATTCTGGAAATACACACACACATATATTTAAGTAAAATAAGGCTGGTTAATTCTGCCAACTCTAATTGGGTCTGAGAAGTCAAAAGCTGAAACTCCAGAAAAGGTTGGTTGGTTCTAGTTTTAATTCTAGGGGAAAGGATCTTGAGCAGAGGGAGTTCTTCGTGCCTTGGCGGTGCGCCGGGAGAAGAGACTTCCTCCTGGGAAGAAAGGCGGGTGGATGCTGGCCGTGGCTGTGGCATGGGCTTTATGGGAACCTCCCTGTGGCCCTGCCTGAGAGCTCTGAGCAGACTGAGCAGGCGGGAGGTCAATTAGGCAGCATTAGGCTGATTGTTGTCGCTGGTAGCCTTGGCAGCAGATTGTGCCAAGGGAGAAGGCGCAGGCAAAGGACAGAAGCCCCGGCCCCTCTGGCATGTGTTGTTATGGAAAAGTTTATTTATCCTTCAAGAGTGAGAAGTTGCCTTTCATAGTTTGAGGTCCTCTCAAATCTGCAGACAATGTACCTGAGAACACAGGCTGGCTTTAGCAGAAACCTTTGGACTGCTGCTATTACTCAAACTTAAGTTTTCCTGCGGTCCTCGATTGCTTTCATAAGAAGAGCTGCTGTTGGTCCTCTTCTTCCTTTTTCCTCTTTGTCCTGTATTAGTTTTCCCGTGCTGTTTAACAAATTGTTCTGAAATTGTCTACTTAAAAACAATAGCACGTATTTATTCTGTCACAGCTTCTGGGTATCAGGAGTCTGGGTGTGGCTTAGCTGGGTGCCTCTGTAAGACTTTTGACAACTATTGGCCTGAGTTGCATTCTCATCTGGCAGCTTGACTGGGGAGGAGCTGCTTTTATAATCAGTCAGGTTGTTGGCAGAACTCTTTTCCTTATAGTTATAGGATTATGGGTCCTGGTTTCTCACTGGCTATCCCTGGAGGCCACCCTCACCTTCTGGAAGCTGCTCACCCCCTTGCCACAAGGCGCCCGCCTTCCCCCCACCATTATGGCCACCAACTTCTTTTTTTTTTTTTTTTTTTTTGAGACATAGTCTCACTATGTTGCCCTTGGTAGAGTGCTATGGCGTCACAGCTCACAGCAACTTCAAACTCTTGCGCTTAAGCGATTACCTTTTTTTTTGAGATGGAGCCTCAAGCTATCCCCCTGGGTAGAGTGCCATGGCATCACGCTCACAGCAACCTCCAACTCCTGGGCTCAAGCGAGTCTCCTGCCTCAGCCTCCCAAGCAGCTGGGACTACAGGTGCCCGCCACAACGCCTGGCCATTTTTTGGTTGCAGCCATTATTGTTGTTTGGCGGCCCGGGCTGGGGATTCGAACTCGCCATCTTAGGTGTATGTGGCTGGCGCCTTAGCTGCTTGAGCCACAGGCGCCGAGCCACTTAAGCGATTATCTTGCCTCAGCCTCCCAAGTAGCTGGGACTACAGGTGCCTGCCACAATACCTGGCTATTTTTTGTTGCAGTTGTTTAGCTGCTCCAGGCCAAGTTCGAACCCACCACCCTAGATATATGTGGCTGGCACCGTAACCTCTGTGCTACAGGCACCGAGCCGACCACCAACTTCTTTAATGCCAGCAGGGGGGAGAAAGTTTTTGGAGCTTGTCTGCTAGCAAGATACAGTGTTATATAACATAACGTAATCTTGGGTCTAACAGCTCATCCCTTGGCCATGTTCCATTGGTTAGAAGCTGGTCACAGGTCCTGCTCACACTGCAAGAAAGAGGTTTGGACAAAGGCAGGGATAGCAGAGTGTGGGCATCCTTGGCAATCACTGTACAGTCTGTGTCACTCCTACCAGTTCCTTTTCCTTCCACTATTCACCATCACTTGTACCAAGCTCTTTAAAAAATTTCTTATTTAATTTTCTCAACGTCCTTTGCAAGTAGGTGCTATTCTCCTCATTTTGCAGATATGGAAATTGAGGTCGAGCAAGGATCAGTAGCCCAATATTGCATGTCTAGTCTGTGTGAAGATTCTAAGCTGGGTCATCCTGCTTTGGAAGCTTCTTGTTTTCACTCTGCTGTGTTATAGCACTTTTCACTCTAGAGACAATCTAGTCTGGGACTTCGCCTCCCTTCACTTTAGGTTAGTAGCCATTTACTGAACACCAACTGTGTGCAGCATTGCACTCCTCAGTAGGAATAAAGAAAGAATGTGCAAGGCTCAGAGCCTTGGAAGAAGAGGTACCATTTTTTGGTAAGGTCTTGGAAGGTGTGACTTGCACCTGAGCTAGGTTTTGAAGTGCATTTTATTTTAGCAGGGTTATATTACAAATGCAGGCCCACTTTGACTGAGTTTTGGGGCTATGCAGAATGTTTCCATTGGAAACCTTTCCATCTTTCAGCACAGGCAGCAAGAGACAAAGTGTGGCTTATAAATTCAAGTTGGGTATCAATGAGATATGTTTGGAAACTATAGCAGGATCCTGGATGGCACTTGGTAGCAGGTGCCTAGAAAGTGACATATAGAAGGATGAAAAAGTCTTGCTGTCAGTGTCAGTGTGTATTGTGATAGATTAGTCATGTCCGCCTTGGGCTCAGAAAAGCCAAATGGTAGCCTGTATGTTGTGAATTTACTAAACATAGTGCTATGAAAATGTAAGCCAGGGCAGTTTTTAATCATTGCTCAGGAGGATGCTTTCCTGAATCTATTCAGATGAGATGAAATTTCCCTAGATATGGCACCCTTGGGCCTAAGGCTTGCTGATTTGCAGTTCCAAAGGCTCAAGTTAGTACCACCAGCCCAAACCGCGTATCAGGTCACCAGGTTGCTTCCCTTAGACTGCCAGGAAAGGATCACTCTGGCCAAAGATTCCCCAAGCAAGGCCAGACGTCAGTATTTGACTCTCCTCCCAACTGTGCCATGATATGGCTCACATCCTCTACTCTGTGTGTGCAGAACAAGAGACCCAGAATATGGGGAGCAGAGAAGGAAACAAGCATCAAAGTTTCCTGTGTGACTTCTTTCCTAGATTGTCTATCTGCTAATCCAGAGGATTTTGTCTTAGAATATCTGTGAATACAGGCCTTTTGCTGAAGGAGTGGGGAGTGGCATTTTCTGACCAGGTCAATAAACTGTTGATCATTTGTGCTCTTTACTTCTGAAGTCCACACTTTTCCATTGTTGCCTTTGGTAGCTGAAGATTGTGTTCCTGTGTTCAACCTCTTATTAGTATGATTATCTTCTTGAGTCATGAGTTGCCTTGAGTCAGGAGTTGCCTGCCAGCCCATCATGGTGCCATCTCCACGAGTTATTAGAAAGGTTTACGAGGCCAGTATAAACAGCATGAATCAAGAGAGAGAGACAGGCCTCCCTCCTTTGCTTACGTTGTTGTCAGGGGAGGATGCCAGAAGAGGTTGGAGCAAAGGAAGGAGAGAGGGGGAGAAAGAAGGGCTGAAAGAAAGAGAAATAAGAGGAGAGGCAGGGAAAGGATGAAGAAAAGAAGATTGGAGAAAAAGAGGGAATAGAGAGAGAGAGGGAGGAAGATTTCCCCTTAGAAATGGTACGAGCTGATGCTTATTTTTCTGCCATTTAAGTTGCCTCCGAGTGCAGCCGGGAAATTCACACAACATGTAGACATGTAGGACTATGCCTTCTTTCTGTTGATGACCTACTGCCATTGTGTGACTTTGGGTAAGTCTTTTGCTGCTCTGGACAGCCAGTTTCTTCTCTTTCCATTAGCAGGACTGCCAACTACCAGGGATGATAAGTGCATAGATGCCCAGCCCGTTGGAATGCTATGAATCCTTTAATGGAGGTATTTTGAAAAGTAATAAGCTTGATGCCACCTTTCTTATTTAAAAAGTGCGTTCGTGCTTTCTAATCACTAAATTGTCACCTTGTGTGCAGACAGCTTACTGCATTAGTGGGGCTAAGAAGGTCTTGAATGTGCTGGGATAAATAAATTATCATTGGTACTTAAGGATGCCAGTTTTAATCACGATTGAGGACTTTGGGAGCAAATGCCTTTGTTTCTTTGATTGCTTTTGGTCTCCAGCCAAAGACCCCCTGCCCTGAGTTAATATATTCAGCTCTGAAGACCAAGCTCTTCCTTCCTACCAGCAGAATCAGAGCTGCTTTATAGCAATCAAGGAAAGTCTTGGGAATTTAAGTAAATAAGTATTTAAATTATATGAAACTGGAAACAGGGTGATCTGGTACTTTTTAATTTTTATTAAGCATTTATTTTGAGTTTGGATTAGTCATTGAATGCAGCTCTTCCCAGATGCTCTTTAGCATGGTCACAAGTGGACTTCACTCCATAGGTTTATCCTGACTGCTGTAAAATGGCAGCTTTAGGCTGATAGGAGCCATGCTGTTTGCATTCAAAGAGCACCTGACTGGGTTTAGGTGATGGACCATGAAAAGGAATTAGAGGAGTAATTCGAACAAGCCTTTTGGTTTCATTATCCTGATGGCATATAAAGAATCTTTAAAATATCCCACATGACTTCTTAGGGTCACATTTATCCATCCTTCACTGTAATGAACACTAATGACCTAATGCTGCACTGGGTATTGATCGGAATCCAATGACTTATCACTTTGGTCGTCATGAGTATCCAGTTGGAAGATACCTTGATTGGCCTCGATTCTCCAAAGCCACATATTTATTTTCTCCAATGTTGCGTATCAAAATCCAAGGTCAGAGTTCGTGCCTGCCATGATTTCCCACATCGGAAGGAGTGCCATTTGTCAAGGGCCTTCTTTTCTTTTTCTGCCTTAGTATCTACAGCTGTATTTACAAGTGGAAGGACAGCTGCCTGAAAATAGACAGTAGAGCTTGGATTCACTGAGATGTTCGGAATACTCATCTCTTAGTTCCAACGACAAACATTTATTGAATGGATCTTGTGTGCCAGACACTGTCCTAAGCTCTGGGGTTTTAGTAGGAAACAAAGCAGATAAAAATCTCTGTTTTTATGGCACTTAACGTGCTAGTAATATATTGTGGCTAATCATATTTTTTGGTGAACTGAAGAACAAATATTTATGAATCATTCCATTCACTGAGCATTTTGTATGGGCTTTTCATGGCACTTCTTTTGGAAGTAAGTCTTTCTAAAATGCCTATCCCAATAGTCTTACATTAGGTAGAGTTGGGAAAACTCAATTGGAGCTCTGAAGATTCGGATTTTCCCAGATGGGTCATAAACCCGAACATCTATTACTTTTGGCAAGTTCTAAAGAATGTGCAGAATAGGCTGAGTTTATGTTAACCACGCTGTCCTGCAGTGGTTAGATTTTTAAACAATTCCCAACCTCTAGCCTACTTTCTTAATTTTCACTTCTCTCAAGGTAGAAACATTAGAGAAGAAATAAACCCATTTTGAAATAATGGTGAGCTATATTTAAGCTGAGGTTTCTAACATTTTAGAGGCTTGGAACACTTTGATTTTATTATCGTTTTGGGATAGTTTTTCATGTCGTTGCTCTGCATGGAAATTTTGGGTATCATATCTATTAAAATCTAATTTTCTTTTGCAAGTGGTTATTTAGCTCTATGGATGCAAATGTGAAAATAAGCTCTGCATGTCTGCCAAGCTCTTACAGCACAGTTGAGGGAGATAAGAAGAGGTATTGCATATCAGATGAATAAGAAGAAAATAGAGACAGATGCAGGTGCTGTGAAAACAGACATGTTGAGTGTGCTTCATCCTTCTGTAGGTGAGGGTGTGGGGTTTAGGTACATGGGACTGGGGGGACCAGCTTACAAAGGCTTTAAGAGGAGGCATATCCTTAATTCTTTAGTATGGAATTCTAATTGGACTTCTGAGTTTAACTGAGATGGAGCAGTCCAAAAGAAAATTTTTATTTCATATATTTTACATCAATGATAAGAATATATATTATTGGGTTAATGAGGCTAACATTTAGAAAGCTCCACGTGCTAGGTGCTGGGCTAAGCAGTCTACTGGCACCATGTCATTTCATTCTCATTGCTTCTCCTGTGAAGTTGGTAGTTTTAGCTCTATTTTAAAGAGGAGGAAACTGTGGCCCTGAGAGGTTGAGTGATATAGCTGAGATCACACAGCTAAGAAGCTACAGCTGGGATTCAAACTGGGGCATCCTTGCCTCCAAAGCCAGGGCTCTAACCACTGTGCTTACTGCCTTTCTTGTGGTGCTGCGTCCCCCAGTGCAGTGCAACCTCTCCATAGATATCTTGGATTGTGTCTTTCCATGATTGCTTCATACTTAGAACAATCAGCATTCACCCTAAGAGGATGGGTGGAATTCCTTCCTTGCATCAGTACTTGACTTCCTCTTAATTCAATGCTATCTCTCTCTATCAGCTCTCTAAGTAGCTAAGTGCTATTATGACTTGAAGCGTGTGCATTTCTTGATCTAATTTGGACTTACTATGTAGCCTTGGTCAAGCCATTTTTAAATCACTCTTGTTTTCCTCATTTACCATCATATCAGAACAAACAAAAGCAATATAAATATTTCTGACCAAAGATGCGGTGCTTTCATCTGTGGCTTTTGTCCCCAGGAGCTGAGCTGTGGCTGGACTGATCCACTCTTGAACTACTTATCTTGTGGGGAGGTCGTAGTTGCATCTGATTTTCTAAGCGCCTATAGCACAGTCACAGCTCTCTCTGTTGCCCAGTCTCCCAGCATTTTCACGATGCCCCATCACTCCTAGACTGTCGTCAATGCAGTTGTCTCTGTTTCAGATGACGACCTTGCCCCAGCTGTCCCTGGAGGACGGCAGCTTGATGAGTAAGTCCTGAAGCTTGCTAGAAGTGTCTCAGCATTTCACATGCCTGCGTTGATTGGACAAACCCTAGTATGGGCCTTAGGACTTGGTTGGCCTCAACATTACTACTGAAAATGTCTCTCTGACTTGTGTTTCCTTTTTCAGCAAATGAAAAGATTGAAGACATCAATGGCTGTCCGAAGAACAGGTCGCAAATGGTAAGTGGTACGTAGGTAGTGTTTGTGTTATGTTAGCAAGCCCTGCCTCTAAGTGATATTGACCCTCTTGAAAGCTTTCACACCAGAGGCTTTACCCCAGGGGGTTAGATTAATAAACTCCCAGTCATTTCCAAGTAGCTATGCTCTGCTTCTGACACTTGTTGGCATTTATTTAAAATGGCTGTGTTTTTATGTGTATTTTGAGACAGTGGAAACAAAATATTGTCCTTGCTCTCTTAGACGCAAATTATACAGAACTGGTGCAAATATACACATGTTTAGAACTTGAACTGCTGTGACTTGTTTTGCTTCCTCAAAGACCCACAGCAATATGTGTTCATGCATCGTGCTGGGGCATTGAGGGCGCGATGGTATCTTACTAATGAGAAATTGCGTCATGGGTCTGAGGGACTTCAAAGGGTAGATGGCATCTGGACCATTCTCAGAGTAACCTTGACAAGTGACATTCTCTGTAGTGTAATGCAGTTTAGCTCTATTAAAACAACAACAAAAATTAATCTTTTAAAGTCTATTCTTTTCTTGTTGCTTGTCCTATACCTCATCTTCAAGTTAAAACTCATGCTCATTGTTGAGTTCAGAAAACATTGAATCGTTATACTCTGAGTGCTTAGCTTTTCATTTCACAACACTTTGCAAACATGAATATTCACATAAGGAATGTGTTGTTATATATAGTCTGTTAAGATGCTGCTGCTACCTGTTTAAGATGTGAAGCTGGCAATTTAAGGATACCTTCTAGAAATCTGAAAAAGTCATACTTTGTTTCTCACCTGTTTTGAATAGGCATAATTTAATAGATCTCATTTCAAGAGTATACCGAAGCGACTGGCATTCCTTGCCTTTACAGTTTAATTTTCTGGGTTGTTTTATCCCAGTAAGTTGGGCAGAGAGGCAGCCTTTTCAGTCAACTCTTTTCCATGCACAAAAATGATTTTATTATGAAGGGGTTAGGAGGGGGTGTCATTTTTCCATTTACATTCTGAAACAAGTTTCTCTCTGTTTTTAATTGTTTCACTGGAGGTTTTGTTTCTTTTCATTTGATCCAGAGGCCAACCGCTCCTGACATAGGAAAGTCCCCAGGCAGACATCTCATGGCTGCTTTGACTTTGGGAAAAGCTTGGCTGCTATTTTTTGCTACAGCTACTGCAGCTGTCTAGTGTATTAATAATTGAGAAAATTTGGATGATAGAAGACTTAATTTTAGTGCAAGTATTTTACACATGCAGTTATATCTTCACATGAAAGAGATGCAGTATTTCCCTGTAGGATAAATATCGACTCAGTTGCCTCCGCCTGTTATAATGCACGTGTGAACTGACATTCTCAGGTAGTCAAGCTTTTATTCTATTTAGTGCATTTGTATTTTCTGCACTCTCTGTTAGAGATGTTGCCTATTGCTAAAGCCCACTTTCAAGCTTATAAAATACAGGTTGAGTAGCTCTTATCTAAGATACTTGGACCAGCAATCTTTGGGTTTCAGATGTTTTTGGAGTTTGGAATATTTATGTTATTCTTATAACATCCCTAATCCCAGAATCCAAAAATGTTTCAGTGAACATTTCCTTTGAGTGCCATGCAGGTGCTCAGAAAGTTTCAGATTTTGGAGTATTTTAGCTTTTAGATTTTCAGATTGGGGATGCTCAACCTATAATACTGTTTCCTCATATTCTTCTTTGCAAATTTGAGTTTTGTATGCAAACAAGTTATTTACAAATGTTATTATAGCACCAATACAATTTTGTGGTTTCTCTGTAACTTCCATCTATATCAATGCTATATTGTTTGGGGGATTCTTCTCTTTTGTGGACTGTTTTTTTTAGAACACACGAATATAAAATCCTGTAATTGTCGGTGATAATTAGTTCCAGCTTAGGGGCGGGGAGGCAGACACAGTCTTGTGGTAAAACTAGCAGAGAATAGTTCAGCATACGGGATGTGAGTCCAGGAAAATGTAAGACTCTTCACCACAGTCATTCCATTCTGCAGGAAATGAGAGACATGATGATAAGGACAACAGGGACATTGTCCTTGTCCTGTATCACAGAACAATGGCAAAACATGAGGCAGAACTCACCAGGTCAGGCAGGAAGTCCTTCTAGATAGGCCTGGGTGTTGTTCTGGCCCATAGGACACACCTGTATATGTGCACACTTGCAAATACAGGCTTAAAGCCCTTCTGCTCGTGAGAAGGGTAATTTGAGAATATGGCCCAGGGTGTGGGCTACCATTTCTAGACTTCCTAGGTGGTTAGCCTCCAAATTAGGTTTTGTGTGGGGTGGCCAATGATAAACATATGTTATTGTTGTTTGCTAAATATTGCCTGTTTGGAGGAGGCCAAAGGGGAAGGTCAATGGAGGGTGTGATTTTGGCAGAAAGAAGAGGACACACATGAGATGAGAATGTGGGAAGGGTATTTTATGGGGATTTTCTCTTAGCTGTTACTCTCCCCAAAATAATAAGTGTGGAGTTAATGTGGTCACTGTCTAAGAAAACAGGTAGTATACCTTCAGGGCCTTTAATAATGGAGTGAAAGGCAGTTCTGGTTCAGAGCAGATGTGGGATAGAGTGGGTACGATTCCAGTTTTCTAGCGGCCAATTCACAGCCTCAGCTAAAGGGTAGGTGGGAGCGTGAGCTCTGCAGTAGGGATGTGCTCTGGAAGAGAACACATTTTCTCCTCCCTCCCTTCACACCTCCTGACTCACCAGACCCCCAGGTGCCCTGTTCTTGGCTCCAAGTACCTCCACCCAGGCTCTGCTTCAAGTTCTGCTTTCTTCCCAGGGAATGGGGAAGTGGAAACAGATACTGTGGACTATCTGATTGATACATGTGCTGCCAGCCTGGAGAATTCCAAGGCTGTCAGCACATGAGCATAATGGTGCATACACTTAAGCAGGGGTCCTCAAACTTTTTAAACAGGGGGCCAGTTCACTGTCCCTTAGACTGTTGGAGGGCTGGACTGTGGGTCCCAGGACAAGTCGGTTGTTAAGTAGGACAGGCAGCGGTGGCAAAAACACCCACTGGGCCGGATATATGTCCTGGGAGGCTCCCATGTGGCCTGCGGGCCGTAGTTTGAGGATGCCTGGTTAGAGTGTCAATCAGCAAACAGTCACAGAGTGTCTACTAATGGCAGGCAGTGAGCGAGGGTAGGTGAGCACATGAGTGAACAAGATGTGATGAGTGGGCCAAGAGAGGAGAGAATGACTAGAACAGAGCATTGCAGCTGCTTCAGTAGATATCTGTGCACGGAGCAGTGGGGGCCCATTCCTCCCTATCCAGGGCAGGGAAGGTTCATTTCTAAGGGGCAAGCCTTGAAAGGTGAGGGGGTAGCTGCAAGGGATGATGAGCAGAAGAGGATTCCAAGCAGAGAGCCAGGCCTGAAACCCGTTTCTGGAGAATCTGTTTATCTGAGGTTATCATGGATCCTGCAGAGGAAGGTTTTGCAAACGTATTCGGTCATACCGTATTGCCCCCAACTGCATCTGGTGAGCCTCTGCCAGCCTCTCTGCAGCATCAGCCCCATGCTCTGCTGTGCCCAGCATGACAAGTATGGCATGGAAGAGCCCAGGGCACGGCAGACCCATAGGCACGGAGGTCCTTGCAGACCTGGGGCGAGCCTTCTGCATTCTTCATCACTCCCTAGATTTCTGGATCTAAGGGAGGAACCCCCAACGCCTGAGAACAAATTTTTTCTAAAGGAAAAAACCGCAGCCTATTAACTATTATGGATGGATGCTCAACTCTGGAATCTGGGATGTGAAAATGCTGCTGGTTGGAGATGGTGATATTTTTAATAACAGCTTGAACAAGTGTCTACACAGCACTTTAAGGATTACATATTCACATGCGCCTTTTGCCCTCCTGACTTTCCTGTGGGCTGGGTGAGAAACCCAAGTCCAGTCCCCAGGACTCTGCCTCGTTCTCTTCCATCTGCATCCATAACCCTGCACGCCCAGACCTTGGCTGGCTAAGATGGGACTGTGACTGCGACCTGAAGACAGAGATGCACGGCAGCTGCTTCCCCTTCCTGGAGCAAGCCCTGGCCTCTGCTTGTTGTTAAGGAGTCCTTTGCCCTGTCTCAGTCTGACCTAGATGCTTTGGGGGCCAAATCCTTGGAGATGGAACTTTAGAAATAACACCCCCACCCCAACACCTCTCCCCTCTCCAACTTTATCCCCTTGGCCTTTAAATAAGTTTGTATGTGTGCGTCAGAGCTTGTTAAAGTGTTTTGTCTGTTTAACATTGCCATGACAACCTAAGGGCATCTCTTTGGCTTTCAAGTAGTGTGTTCAGCAGAGTTATGTATTAGTTTGGAAGGAAAAACATAGCTTGGAGCTCAGCCAGAAGTGCTGGGGCAGCCACTGCTTAGCTCCCTTAACTCACTGGCTCTCAGACATAGGAGGCATTGGCTCACTCTGGAGCCTGGGAATAGCCAGCCGCAGGGGGTGGTTTTCTTTTTTAATCATTATTATTTTAAGCAGCCTGGCTTTCTGTTGTTGATTAGGGGAGGCACAAAGTTAGCCAAGCCTGCTTGCCTTTTCAGCAAAAAAGCTGCAGCCCAGGCCTGCTTTCCCCTCCAGGCTGGGCCTGCCAGCCCGGGTTTGCCCCCTGCCTCCTCTGGAGGTCTTGGGGAGTCCTCTTGCTTTCCTCCCTTAGTGCATCTGTAGACCCAGGGTCAGCCTGAGCCTGAGTGGGAGAACCAGCAGGGCCAGGCCTCAGCTCCTTCTCTTCCTCTGTGGCCTTGAGCTAATTAACCTTCTCAAGCTTCAGATTTCTTGCTCTATAAAGCAGGATTAATAATAATACATACTTAATAAAGTTCTCATGAAGACTAATGAGGCAATTGAAATGATAATAATGGGCAATAATAAAGTGATAAAATATAAGCAGAGTTTATGGTGTTTGCCTTGTGCCAGGTGCGTTCTGGATGCTTTGCAAAGGCAATGTTTTCTCTTAGTTCATCCTCCCCACAGCATCTTTG